AACAAAGGGTGGCTGTAAGTAAAACCTGGCTTCGACAGCTTAATCAATTTGTAGATACCTAATTCTTCCCATTGCTGGGATTTCTTAGCTTCTACCTTATTGAACCAGTTTTGATAAGCAGTGTCGGAGGTAGGGCAAGATCGAAAGGGTTTGAAGTTACTCTTTACGTAGTCTAATACAAAAGGGTCCTTAGGAGGAACAGTTGGATTTTCTACGGTGTTTGAGCCTGAAGATTCTATTGCCTTAGGGGCATCCATTTTGTTAAACAAGGGTTTGAAACTATAGCAAACTGGGAAAAATTTTCTGGTATCTTTTAAAATTTCAAAAACTGTAAGAGGGCCCATTAAAGCTAGCCTCTTACTAGCAGCGGTGGTAGGAATAAGTACTTGGGATGCATAAAGCATTTCTTTTTCCTTTGAGATCATCTGGGGAACAAGGACAAATTGACCTTGGTGAGTGACAATCTTGCTTTCCATGGTAGTTCCTGCGGTCTTTCCTTTCTTCTTGGAAACCTTTTTTAGTTGGGATGAAGTAGAAGAAGACATTTTTGGAAGAATGTTGAAAGCTTAGGGTTTTCGGTGAGAAAAGAAGGATAAAAGATTCAGAATGTGGGAAGAAAAGAAAAAGACTAAGTTGATGGTTTTATAATGTGGAAGTTTAAGCATCCACTGAATAAGGTTGTGATACGTGGAAATCATGGGTTGGTTTGATGAAGAGGTGGCGTGAAGTTAACATTGCTAGTAAGCGTGATTAAAGATAATCATTGTTTTGTAACTGCACCATACTGTGAGATGGCTCAAGGCGGTTAAGGAATCTAAAAAGTGTCATGATTGACGTGACTGAAGTCAAATACATTAAATGTTACGATGATTCGAAGGTCGCATCAAAATCTTGTGTATATGTTTAAAATAAGTATTTCTCAAAGGAATCGAAATACATATTTTAAAGGGGCATTTTGTTGGCTGAAGATTTTGATAATATTATTAGAGGCCAAATGAATTGGACGTTTCGATTGAAATGAAACAAAACGTCATGTTTCGAAATAGCAGAAGCAGTGTTTCGAATGAGCATATCAAAGCTTGGAGCTTCGAGTGGCAATTATGAGAATATATCCAAAGAAGTCTCGAAATGACAACAAAGCTGTGTCTAAGAAGTGCGTTCGAAGCGGGGAAGTACCAAAACATTTGAAATTCAAATGCAAGCGGGATGTTCGAAATTTGAAATATATGCGCTGGAGCATTTGAAGACACGTGGAAACAAGAGAGAGGCATTGTTCTGCATGTTCTGAACGTGGCAGAATCTTATAGCGAGACCGTTATGGTCGAAGTAGTATAAATAGGAGTCTTAGCATTAGGATTTTGTGTGTCATATCTATTGTACTAAATACTCAGTAAACATTCAAATTACCACATGGCTAGGGAAACGAATGCAAGAGCAATGTACGTATGATAACACCACATATTTATGATTTAATGAAAACCCTTTATCATTTCCAGTACTTTCCTTTATCTTTCTGTCAAATACCATTTACAAGTTTTTGCATCTAAAGTCTTTTTATTCGAAATCTTTTCATTGATGCCTTACATTTAAATGCTTTCTTTCCATTTCAAACATTTTACGTTTCAGAAACTGTTATACATTTCATGTCTTTATCTTCAAGTTTTTATCCTTCGAACGCTTCTTTTTACTTAAAATCATTTTACAGATTTCTTGCATTAAACGCTTTCTTCATATTTCGAATCTTTTACATTCCAGAGCATCTTTTACATTAACTGTTTTTATATTTCGAAGCCATTTACTTGTCTTTTATGAAGTTTACATGTCTTTACAATTAACTTTTATTCATGCAATTTAGTTTCGCGCACATATATTTTGATTACATCTTTAGATCTTTAAGAGAGAAATCGAAATAAGTCAAACACCTACACAACATTTTAAGAGAAACCATGAATACCTGTTCGATCATGAGAGTTACCCTAATGACCAACACGTCCTAGGATCAATCTAGTCGATCCTGCGAGTTACCAGAGAAATTGAATAACAGTCAGTAAGTTTATTCGATAGTTTGGAAGACTAGCGGTTGTTTACCAGAAATCACTGGAAACACCTTCTTCCATGTATTAGTCCTTAAACTCTATGGAATAATCTTATGTGTCTACATAGGCAACTTTGGCTTTTCTATGGTCCTTTGACACCCTAGCTTTCTTTGTTTTTAAACGTTCGACATATCGAACCTTATCAACTAGTTAAGACGTATCTGTAATAGATTGAGGATCCAAAATTTTTCTAATAGAATAATCTAACCTCCCAACGGCCAGTTCAACTAGCTCATGTTCAAGAACCCTAGTAAAGCATATATACTTTAGGACCCTAAACCTATTCAAATACTCTTCCATTGACTCAGACGACCTTCTCTTGATGGAGGATAATTCTTTAAAACTTATCTTAGGCTAAACAACATAAAATTGCTCATGAAAAATACCCTCAAGTTGTTCCCAAGTACGTATGGAGTCTGGAGTCAACATCGTAAACCAAGTAAAAGTATTCTTTGTCAATGAATCAGGAAAATATCTCAACTTTAAACCCTCATCATTGGTGATATCGTCAGCTTCTGTTTCGTACCTAGCAATGTATTCAATGGTTAACTCATTGGCCTCACCAGCAAACTTGGTAAACTTAAGTACCTTACATCCCCTAGGTAGTTATGCCTATCAAATATAATCAGGCAAGGGCGAAGGATAGTTGAGCCTCCGGAGACCAACACTTACTCTGGATCATGTTAATAATTCTTCTACCATATTTACTATGTTGTTACGTCCAAGAGTGGCATTTCTTAACACTCGACCAACATCTTAGTTTCTCCTTACCATTACCAGCCTAGGTTCATATAGTTCAATGAATTCTTCCTCTTCATAAGTGGGTGCTTCCACTCTTCGAGGTCTAAAAGGACGCTCATTGTTGCCCCCCTCTAGTTCTTCATAAACCTTTAGCGGCCCGTGGCGCGTTTGATTTTGAGTTGGTTGGACCCCTAATGAGTTGATCAATCTGCCTATTTGATCAACTACAAGATTGAGGGCGACTCTCATTTGTTGAGTTCAAATGTTTACCAACTCTAAATTACTCTCATCCATATGTTGCCTTAAAGCCATAAAGGATGTAGTATTCAAAGATGGTGTCAAATGCGTGACATAACTAACACAACCTAGTCGACCACTTGGGACATAACTGCCTTGGTTTCCAATGGCCACTGTATGTTCTGTATATATGGAAGAGTTTGACTGTAACCCAACCATCATGGAATAAGGCATACCATATTGGTGAGGGATAAATGATGACCCTAGACCCTTTGGAAATAGTGGTCGATTTGGGTCAAATGGCGATACCCCATGCCTAGGTTCTGCCAGTGCGACTGTTGTCACTGAACCATGAACTGCGGTCAATCTTAGGGGAGATAAAATTGTTGCGCTTTGAGTTATGGTACTTACTGGTATGACATCCACATTTTGTGTAGAAATCTGCGTATGTGAAGTGCTTGTGTCAGAGAGTGACATTTTTTACTTAGACAAAAGTTTACCACTTCCCAAATTCATACACACACTAACTATAAGAAACTTTATGAAACTACACACGAAATCTGAAAATATTAGCATCGTCCCATCAGGTGTGCCAATTTGTTTACCTCTGGATTTGGTAAACAATGCTGGTCTCATTAAAATAAGTTTACTAGCAAGATCGACCAGGGAATCTCAGTACACTGCTTCAGTTCGTGGTTCGTGTGCGTAGTTAAAATGTTTTCGTGGTTCGTTCGACTGAGAGTCAAACGGTTTGATAAAAGACAAAGTAAATAAGACAAAAGCGTTCGTTTGACTGAAAGTCAAACAACTTGATAAAGGACAAAGTAAGTAAGACAGAAGTGTTTTAAATTGCAAAAGATAATGATATAACATTAAAGAAAGGTTGAAAATAGGTTGGTTCAAACATACATTGCCTTTTCCGGACTCATTTCGCTCGTTCGTTTGGTTACTGAGTTTATAGCGTACAAGAATGTAAAATTTTGACCCTTTACAAAATGTACTAAGTGCTTTATTTATAATATACAAAAATAACTACTTATTAAGTGGGCTTCATTTCCTTGCATGTCACGTGTTCTTCATAACTTTTCTCCATGATCTAATTAATAAAAAAACATGATTGACTATTTATAAAGTCATATGTTATGTTCGTTTTTATGCAACTTTGTTTCGCTTTCCAATTGGAGATGCTCTTAGACTTTTGATTTGTTTAACACTTTTTGATATTGCGTTGAGAATGATTTGGTGATTTTCCAAAATATATCAATAATTTTTTATCATAATTTAACATATTATTTCACACAAAAACCTATATCAATGTTAAATTTCAACGAATGGAAGTAATAAACGTAAAGACATAAGGTCTCCATTTCACTAATTTTGAAATGCATGTATGACAAACACCAAAATCCCTCGCTTGTGTGAAATAGAGGTTATGCTCTTTTTATTGCATCAAAACCTCAAATACATTAGATCAATTACAAATATTAAAATACCACATAACATGTTAAGATTGAAAAATTTAAGTATGAAGGAGTTGAATCAATTACATTACAAACCTTTCAAACTAATTGAATAACATATAACTGATTAATTATATAGATCAAATAAATTAATTATTCAATAGATCTAAAATATTTTTTTTTTTTATATTAAAGACTGAATAAAATGCTTTGAAATGATTGAAATTTTGAAATGTGCTAACATAATGTCTCAAATATAGGAGAGCTCAATAAAAAGGCATATACTTTTGCCAAATCCACGCGTGAATCCTTTTCAGATTTCAAAACACAAGAACCTTTTTCCTACCCCAATATCTCTTTTAAAACATCACTTTTCTAACCAACATAATCACTTTTTTTTTTCTTCTTCTTCTTCTTTGCATACACTTCATTCCATTCTTCTTCATAGGCTTAAAAACAACCAATCATGTCTGTAAGTATTTCCCTACTCTATTCTCCCTATGCTTCAACAGTTTCTTATATTTAACTATGATTAATCTTGCATGTAGAACATGGTTGAGGTTAGGGTTCCAAATCTTGATTGTGAAGGTTGTGCTTCAAAATTAAAGAAAGCTCTCTTTAAACTCAAAGGTATATATTTTCCCTGACATATTTTTTTTTAATAGGGTTTAACGTTTAGGGGTTAGGGTTTAGAAGTTTGTCATCTATAAAAAAGTAGCGGGGTGCAGTATATTGTCCGTTTGTCTTTTATTTTTGTAAAATCTTTATTACTATTGGATAATTTAGTTGTTAGTTGGATAATCAAGTTGGTTTTGATTGTGTTTTATTGATATAGGAGTAGATGATGTGGAAGTTGAAATGGAGGCACAAAAGATAACAGTGAGAGGATATGGTTTAGAAGAGAAAAAAGTATTGAAAGCAATAAAACGTACTGGAAAAACAGCAGAACCGTGGCCATTTCTTCCAGGACATGCACATTTTGCTTCATTTTATAAGTATCCAAGTTACATTGTTAATCATTATTACAATGATGCATACAAAAGTGAAGCAACTAATGGAGTTCATACTTTTTTTCACACACCTTCTGTATATTCAGTTGCTGTTGGTTCTGATGAGGTTTTTGCTTCAATGTTTAGTGATGATAATCCTCATGCTTGTACTATAATGTAACCAAGGTTCATGTGAATTTGTTTGTTTTTCTTTCTTTGAGTTGAAGATGAAGAGGTGAATATTGAGTGAGGCATGTTTTTGCACTTTGAGGGAATCATGAAGTGTGGTGTACTAGTATTTTAAATTGTTTTTTGGTGGGTTGTTTTCAATTATTTTGTATGAATTTTATTTAATGTGTACCAAAAAAAAAAATATCACAGGAAATGTGTTCTGATTTTTAGAATATTATAAAATAAATAAAATAGTTGTATGAAAAATAAAATGAAATAAAAATTGTTGATTGAGGTGATGTATATGTAACTGAATAAAAAGAGTCTTCTTAGAGTATCTCCACCGGAGAGTTTTTTCAAAAGTTCTCCACAGGGCAAACAATTTTTTCATTTTATGTTTCATTGAAGTTGGCCACAGTGGTCATCCGTTGCATCATAAAGCAACTTTGCATAGCTTAAAAAATTAATAAAATTTAAGTTGTGGACCATTTAAAGTATAAAAAAATTGTAAATAAATAAAATATTAATATTATAAAATTGTGATATCCAATATATTCTTTAGAGTTGCACTATTAGAGTAAAAAACTAGTTGAGTTACTTCAAACTGACGTGGCTTAATGGATCCCACAAAAAAAATTCAAAAATGGATTCACGGTTGGAGATGCTCTTAATGTAGTTTAGGTAAACAAAAAAGTATTTAGATGAAATGATGTGAGATTTTGGATCGATCTCTAGTATTTTGATAGGGATAGTTTTTTGCTTCAATTGCTTAAGTTAGCTTGTAGCTTACGTTAGCTTACGTTAGCTTAGTAGTCTATAAATAGACTAGTTCTCTCAGGTTGTTCTAAGAGGTTGATTGTTGGTGTTCACTTGTAATCTGTAAATCCTAATCGAGAAAGTGAATAGAAAAACAGTTAAAATTAATCCTAATTTTTACTTCTTCTTCCCTTTTCTCTCTATTTCATGAAAATCTAATAGAGTTTCTTGTGTTTGTTCAAGAAACTCAATATTTCTCATAGTTTTGGTTTGTTCTTGACGACACTCTGTTACAACAAATTGGTGCGGTGAGCGTGGACAAGTAGATGCTATCAATGAAGTATGAGATTGAAAATTCACCATTGTGAATGATTTGGGTTTGTGGCGGTTGAAGATGCAAGCTTTATTGGTTCAACAGGGTTTGCTAGAAGTGTTGAAGGGAGCCGACACCATATATGTTGCGATAATGAAGAAGGAGAAAACGAAGATGGCAGAGAAAACCCATAACTCCATCGTATTGAGCCTTCGTGATAAGGTTTATCGGCAGATGTTGAAGGAGAAAATGACGACAAATGTGTGGTTGAAACTTGAAAGTTTATACATGACCAAATCGTTGGCCAGTCGCCTCTACCTGAAACAAGCTCTGTATTCATTCAAGATGAGTGAAGACAAAGTCTTGGCTGATCATCTATTGGTCTTATATATTCTAGGATGGATAGAATGGTTGGCAATGTGGAATGGTTTCAAAAATATCAAGAAGCTATTATGGAAGTGCTGCCTTCAAGCATTTAGGACCATACACCTTTGAAAGTGTGGATTCCACAATAAGACACTAAAAGGAAATGCTAGTTTAAACTTCTAAACTGTATAACCCAGGATGACAATTTCATGCACGTAACATCTAGGAGTTGACAACAACATGTCCAAGGGAATACTATATATAGATTGTGGACTAAGGTAAAAAGGCTCTAACCTATACTGGACCATCTTGCAAGGAAGATGTCAGATATCCAAAATCAGATTCAGCATTCTAGACAAGACCTCCTTGAGGTGCAAGAGGAAATACAACATAATTTTCATGATAAGCAGTTGATAGGGAAGGTTAATAATCTCACTGAGAAGGTACTGCATCTCAATAATAGAAGAATCTATCTTGATGCAGAATTCAAAAATCAATTGGCTTAAGTTAGGTGATGGAAACAATTCCTTTTTCCATGCATATGTGAAAGAGAAAAACAAGAAACTGGGTTTGCACACCTTGACTTCTTTATAGGCGATCCTCTCAATCAACATGAAGCTATTGAGAATGAAATCCTTAAATTCTACACTAAGCTTATAGGAACCAATGCCACTGAGTTTAAGGGTATCGATGTTGAGGCCATGAGAAGCGGGAAAATCTTATCTACAGATCTAGCTCACTCCCTTATCAGACCGATGGATGAAAAATATATTTGGGAGGCGTTGTCTAGCATTGGCAATACCAAAGCCCCAGAGATTGATGGTTATAACTCTTACTTTTTCAAATCAACCTGGACAATTGTTAAAAGAGATGTTATTGATGTTGTGTTACAATTCTTTAACACATGTACTATGTTCAAAGCCTTTAACTTCTCTTTGGTTACATAGATACCCAAATCTCCATAAGCTAAAACAATTAAGGACATGAGACCGATTGCTTGTTATATCGTGATTTATAAAGTAATATATAAAATCCTCATAGCCAGGCTTGGTAGGGTTATTGGGACCATTGTGAATGAAAACCATCGGCCTTTGTTCCTCGCAGAATCATACACGATAACATCATGATGGCACAAGAACTTATTAGAGGTTATAACAGGAAAAATATTTCACTCTATTGTATGGTGCAAATGGATATCCAAAAGCATATGATACCATGGAATGGGAACCTCTTAAGAATATCATGGTGGAGCTTGGATTTGCTCAAAATTTCATCAAATGGATTATGGTTTGTGTTACTTCCGTGTCATATAGATTCTAAGTAAATGGCGTAACTTCAAAAGTTCTTCCAGCCAGACGGGGGCCGAGGCAAGGTGATCTTGTATCGCCTCTCCTATTTGTGCTTGTTATGGAATACCTCCATCGAGTGCTTCAAGGCTTGGTTAAGAACCCTTCCTTTAATTTCCATCCTAAATGTGAAAAACTAAATATTCTTAACCTCTATTTTGCTGATGATATTCTCATGTTTTTGAGAGGAGATGCGGTTTCGATGAAACTAATCATGGAAAAGGTGAATTATTTTTCTGCATCTACCAGTCTAACCATTAGCGTACCAAAGAGTAAGATCTACTGCAGGGGGATTGATGAGGAAACTCAAGAAAATCTGCGGAGTGCTACAGCATTTGCTATGAGGGATATACAACTCAAATACCTTGGAGTACCACTAGAAAGAAAGAAACTAACCATAGCTGATTGTCAACTGTTGATAGATTAAATGCTAATGCGCCTCAACCACTAGAGTAATAGGATACTGTCATACACTGGCAGACTAAAATTGGTTAAGAGCGTTATTTTTTGATAGCCAATTACTGGATGCAGATTTTCCCCATGTCGAAAAAAGTCATTCATCACATTGACAAACTCTATAGTACCTTTCTCTGGTCAAGAAAAGATTTCACTTATCGTAAATCACTCGTTGTTTGGGATCACCTCAGTGATCCGTGCTAAAGCGGTGAAGCAACAACCAAAAGTAAGTATTTATTTTAGGGTGATATAGGTTATATCGTATCATCTCCACAAGGATTAGTGCTACTGAATTGCCGTTTGACAAGTCTCACATTAATGAGTTTGGATTTGAATGGGTTTAAAGTGTAAGGTGCGAGAATTAAAATTTATTAACTAAAAATAAACTCATTCTTCAGAGGGGAAAACTTATCAGGCATGCATATAATCCACTCCTTACAAACATAAACCTATCGACCAGTTATACGTAACCCACAATACTCATAAATGTCATCACGTACCGCTCACACCCTAAGTCATATATAATCCAGAGTAGAGAGACCCAATGTAAAATCTCGAAGGCAATCTCTCAATTAACCTCAACAACACATAAGACAACTGCATTACTCGCATTAACAATCTCTCAGTACAACACAACCAACACAAAGAATGTTAGAACATAGTTTGATTCTACAACCTTTAGTTAGAGTTTTGATGATAACAAATACAAAGAACAAATATGCACCCTAAAAATTATGTTATTATGTATACAGAAGTTTTGACCAAAGCAACATCAGAAGTTAAGCTCTAGAAGTTACACGCTGAAGCAATCAGAATTTGCACTGAAGATTGATGACCAGAACCTGCGCTTAAGTGAAGTAAACTCTGATTTTGAACAAGAGCATAATAATATAAGTCATCAATGTTCTAAAGCATCAGCAGCAGGCAAGGATGTAAGATTCTGAAGCGTTACTATTCAATCAAGACAACATCAATTACAACGGCTTCATTCAGATAGGATCTTCTCCATATGGAAACTGAGTTAATGTCATTTATCACGCTTAATGAACAACAGGAATTCATTTCCTATATAAACAAGCTCAGTGATCAAATCATACACGATTTGCCAATACTACTATACGAGAATTAAAAAATGCTGCAAGCTTACTCATCTTTCCACGCTCTAAATTTATGTAAAATATCACAGTTGTGATAACTGTTTTTGTAACGAAAAACATCTGTACACACATTCTTGTATCTTTGTTTAAGACAATGTTCCTTGAGATTAACCGGATCGTGGTTGTACTCAAGAGGACTTTGACAGTTGTCAAAGTAGTGATTGTAATCTGTTTGAGATTAGTGGATTAAGACCTCGTTGAAGAGAGGCGAAATCACCTTGACGGGTGGACTAGAGTAGTTTGAGATCAAACGAACCAGGATAAAAATATTGTGTCATTGCGCATTTGATTTCAAGTTTTCAATTCAAACCCCCCCTTCTTGTGTTTTTCACTTCTTTAATTGGCATCAAAGCGCCTGGTTCTGAGTTCATACACTTAATCATGTCAGTACAAGATCCAAGATTCAGAAAAACACTATGGTGGGACCAAGCCAAAACATCAGCAATGACTACCATGAAGACAAGGACAGAATCAGTGGCAAACCTCCAGTCTTTGATGGAGAAAATTTTGACTACTAGAAAGATAGAATTGAGAGTTTTTTTCTGGCCCATGATGCTGATCTATGGGACATGGTAACTGATGGATACACATATCCAGTTGATGGAAGGGGTCAAAA